CCAAAACAGGGATTCAAATTGTTAAAATGTTGCGCTTTGTTCTTGATGTGGTTCGCTTTAACAAGGCAAAGTTTCTAAACTGACCAAAAGAGCTAAAACAAGTCTCGTGCAAATAAACTCTCCTCACAGTGGTCACATTGAGTTTCACAGTTTATTTAGCAGAGTCCAGCTCAGCTGTCATGCGTCTTTATTTTAATTTATTATGATGAGTAATAAGATATTATAAAGCTGCGCTTTCATTTTAAATAGTAACACCCACATAGTCACCAAATATAAATCAGAGGTACTTTCTGATAGCAATTTGCTTATGCATTGGGCTTTACATTATAGAGATAAATAATAGATAAACCAAGACTGCGGTTTGGTCAATTATTCTAACAGATAAATAGCTCTCGTTTATATTTCAGCATGCTTTCACTTTCGTATTTGACATGAAACACACATTTACCAGTAGGAATGACATCCCGCCCTTCTAGCCTGATCTCACGAGGACACGCAAGTATTTTATGTTTTATCAGTTTAGTGGCAAATTTTTACAAATTCGTATGAGTTCAGTCGTATTTAGCTCATACTTAGTCAGTCAGTACGATTTTAAAAAGCAGGCATGGCACCTAACCCCACCCCTAACCCTAACCGTCTTTGGGTGATGAGCAAATGGTACTAAATTGTACAAATTAGATTGTACAAATTCATACGAATTAGCCATACAAAATACAACACAATAAATACATGCATATATATATATATTTATATATATATGTATGTGTATATATATATATATATATATATATATATATATATATATATATATACATATATATATACATGTGTGTATATATATATATATACATACATATATATATATGCATGTATGTATTGTGTTGTATTTTATATATATATTTATATATTTTATTTATTTATTTATTTATTTATTTTCCCCAGAGATGGGTTGCGGCTGGAAGGGCATCCGCTGCGTAAAAAACTTGCTGGATAAGTTGGCGGTTCATTCCGCTGTGGCGACCCCGAATTAATAAAGGGACTAAGACGACAAGAAAATGAAAATAATAATAATAATAATATATATATATATATATATATATATATATATATATATATATATATATATATATATATATCACACATGCATATATACATACATACATACACACACACACACACACACACACAAACACATACATGCATACATACACATATACTTTTGTGTGTTTATGTACATATTTGTAAATCAGAATATAATTTTAATAATATATATAATTATTGGCAAATTCTAAATAAGGAAATCATATGAGCAGCAAATGACTATCGAAGTACAACATTGTTCACAGTCAATTATGATATATTCACAGTATATTATGGAAGTGTTAATGTGATATAGAAGTCATACTTGCATGCCAACTACAATTGAATATTCAAAGTAACATGTTAAACAATATAGAGACTGCTAAATGAACAAATGTGCGAATATTAAACCAACTTTGCCTCTATTAAATAACTGGTTTGTGTTGGTGTATGAACAGATTAGCTGATATGAATGTATTGTAATGTATGTCTATCCATAGTAACTAATTGTTCCTTTTTTTTTGCTCTATTTTTCAGATGCTACATCACTACTACACCAACATACTGCGAACATCTGATGTGTGGGTCTACAGTAGAATAAATGACTGGTGGAAGAACACCGCTCAAAAGTACTCAGATGACCAGTGGCTGGAGGACTTCAGAGTCTCAAGAGAAACGTTCAGATACATTTGTACAATGCTTAAGCCCTCACTACAGCGACTAGACACGTCATTCAGATTGTGAATTCCTCTGGCAAAACGTGTAGCCATTGCACTCTATAAACTTGCATCTACAACTGAGTATAGAACAGTAGCTAACCTGTTTGCTGTCAGTCGGACCTCGGTGTGTCGCTGTGTGCATGACTTTTGTAAGGCTGTGATTGCTGTGCTTCGACTCAAGCTCATAACCACCCCTGACCAAGCTAAAATGGCAGAGATTGCAGATTATTTTGAGGACAAATTTGGAATTCTACAATGTGTTGGTGCTATTGACGGTTCACACATTCCCATACTGAAACCTCCACAATACTAGTCAGATTTTCACAATAGAAAAGGCTGGCATTCCATAATTTTACAAGGAGTTGTGGATGGTAAAGGCTCTCTTTTTTGGGACCTTAATGTTGGACAGCCTGGTAGAGAACATGATGCTAGCATCCTGAAAAAATCATGCCTTTGGACCTGGGCAACATCCACCACAGCTTTTCCCGGCAGAATAAAGAACATATGCGGAACTGATGTAGGCTATTTCATTCTTGGCGACTCTGCATATCTACCGCAGAAATGGTTGTTAAAACCATATCCAGACACCGGCAGGCTCACAGAAGCTCAAGAACTTTACAACATGAGAACAAGTCGAGCCCGCTGTGTGGTTGAGCATGCATTTGGGCGCTTGAAAGGCAGGTGGAAATGTCTTAGTAAAAGAAATGACTGCAATGTAAATGTTGTTGTTGATATGGTTGAGACATGCTGTACACTGCATAACTTGTGTGAATTACACATGGACAGGTTTGAGCCAGAATGGTCCTCTGATGGTGCTGATGCAGATGTTGAAAGACCATCTTATCTTGGTAATGACAATTCAGATGCAAGAACTGCTCTGCAACAGTATTTCATGCAGCAACAAGAATTGTAACATTGTTTTTTTTTTTGTTGTGAAATAAAATACTGAAAACTACACATTAGAATTATCTTTGGGGTGCTTTTCACTATCAAATCTGTGACACAACTTGACATTTAGATTTATATAGTAACAATATCATAAATTAAATGTATTGTATAGACAATTTATACATGTTAACTGGCTGAAAAGAGTTCACTTTCATATCTACACAATACATTTTTATTTGATAAACCCGATACACCAACTACACCTTTTCTCAGATTTATTTTTCTTCAAGGTGTAATTACTGTTTGTTGTTACATAGCACAGAACTACTCTTGATCCTGTTACTGGTTTGCAACAATGCAATTAAAATATGTGTGAAGGGGTAACCATTAAAAGAAATGGCTTGTGATTACGTGCAATCATCTTTCATAATAGCTGCCTGACAGACTAAACCTTGACCTGAATAGAAGCTTTTTACATATAAGAAACCCATTATCAGGTATGACGGTTCATGCCAATGCCGTCTTGATGGGCTAAATCATTTGACCTGAATAGGACCTGCTTTACATCTCAGAAGACAAATAGGCATACTAGTCTATTACAATAACTGTTTGATTCCCCAAAGCATTAGAGTCATTACAGACAACGATCATTACAACTGTGTACTAGCAAAACATTTCCCTTGGTACCCCTATGGCAAGCCGTTGTGACTTTTATTCATTTTCAGGATATGTATTCTTGATATTAACAATTTAATTCTTGATTTCAACAATCAACATTCTTGATATCGACAAATCAGTTATTGATATTAAATAAGGGAAATGTTGATATCAATATTACATTTCAACTAGTTACAAGGTAAATACTTGATATCGGCAATGATGTCACCATTCACAAAAATACAATTGTTGATATCAAGAATTCAGACTTTTTTATATTCACAATTTAAATTCAAATCTTGATATCAAGATTGTATATCCTCTTATCAATAAAAGACAAAACGGCTGTTTGCAAGCTGTTTTTACTTTTATTGTTTAACGGGAAATGAATTCTTGATATCAGGAATTAAATTGTTGATATCAGTTATCACATGTATACTAGTGTAAATGTCTATTCATGATATCAACAATTGAACTGTTACTAGTAAAAGTATCAATTCCTGATATCAAGAACTTAATTTCACTGGTTAAAATGGTAATTCTTGATATCTGCAATTATATTTTACCATGTTACATTTGTTATTTCTGATATCTAAAATGTTTTTCTGATATCAACAATTAGGGAAATAATTTTTGATATCTAAAATTACTAGTGTCACTAGTAACAATTACATTCATGATATCAGAAATTAACATTGTCACTAGTGGGAAAACAATTGTTGATATCAAAAATGAACATCTTTACTAGTTAAAAAATGTTTTTTTTTTTTAATATCAACAATTTAATTCTTGGTATCAAGAATTACATTTTCATATCAACAATCAATTTATTGATGGTAAGAATTGCATCTTAACTATAAAGAAATAAATTATTGATATCAACAATTAAATATGAATGGCAGTCTATGGTGACATTTATCTTGTTTATAAATATCTAATTGCTGATATCAACAATTAAATTATTGCTATCAACAATAACATTTTGGGTATCACTAACTGAATTGTTGATGTCAAGAATGTAATTGTTGATAGCAATAATTTAATTGTTGATATCAGGAATACATATCCTGAGAATGAATAAAAGTCAAAACGGCTTACCATAGCACCCCAGCTATACAGGGTAAGAGAAATTGCGAATGGTATATGTTTCATTTGTACTTTTGTTGCTTTGGTGTCTGCTTTTTCACTTTCATGAATCACCATACATCAAATAAGCCAAGTCTTGACCTGAATAGAAGCTTTTTACATATAAGAAACCTATTATCAGGTATGACGATTCATGTCAATACCTACTTGATATGCTAAACCAATTTACCTGAATAGGACCTGCTTTACATCTCAGAAGACAAATAGGCATACTAGTCTATTACAATAACTGTTTGATTCCCCAAAGCATTAGAGTCGTTACAGACAACGATCATTACTAGACAACTGTTAGCAAGCGTGTTTTCTTCATCAATACCTTTTTTGATGCCTCAAATAAAAATGTACTTTTATTAATTAAAATAAAGCATGCTATTTCATAAGAGCAGTAAACCTCACATAGACCTCCACATATTCTTATGGTTATACTATGAAACAGGATGCGAATTTGTATATTCCTAATACACAACAAACACAATACACAACTATTGAAAAAAAAGAGCTTTTATTTGTGATCAATTTTTTACAATAGTGCAAATTACGAAGGTGCAACACAACAAACAAAAATAACAAAGGTGGTTAAAATAACAAAGGTGCTAAAAAGTACTATAAAGCAGATGCGACTTGGACAGACTGCTCTACTTTTTTTTGCAGAAGAGCAGCTGCCAAGCTACCAAGAATTGAATTTAACACCTCAGAGTCCTTCTGCCTATTGTCCATTTCTTTTTGCCATAATTGCATATAAGCTGCCAGCTCCTCCCGTCGTATCAACATCTCTGCATCTCTGTCCTTCCGTCTCAGTTCCTGTTCTGCCTCTCTTTGTTCTTGAGTCTGCTCACGCATGTACTGCATAAAGTCCCTGGACAAGGAGGTTGCCTTACGCTTTCGAGATTCTGTAGAGAAAAAAAATGAAAAAAAGTAAGCCTCAAATACAGGATACTTTTTGTATGCACATAGGCTTACTTTTGTGAAGTTTACACAATAAATAAAAACTCTAAATACCTGGTCGTGTCCTCGGTGGAATGTGGTGTGATCCCCCTCTAATACCGGTTGTGCTGTCATGTCTCTTTGTAGCTGCAAAGCTACCAAGAATTGAACTTAACACCTCAGAGTCCTTCTGCCTATTATCCATTTCTTTTTGCTGTAATTGCATATAAGCTGCCAGCTCCTCCCGTCGCATCAACATCTCTGCATCTCTGTCCTTCCGTCTCAGTTCCTGTTCTGCCTCTCTTTGTTCTTGAGTCTGCTCACGCATGTACTGCATAAAGTCCCTGGACAAGGAGGTTGCCTTACGCTTTCGAGATTCTGTAGAGAAAAAAAAAATGAAAAAAAAGTAAGCCTCAAATACAGAAAACTTTTTTATGCACATAGGCTTACTTGTGTGAAGTTTACACAATAAATAAAAACTCTAAATACCTGGTCGTGTCCTCTGTGGAATGTGGTGTGATTCCCCTCTAATACCGGTTGTGCTGTCATGTCTCTCTGTAATATACATATACAGGAATAATTATGTACTGGCAAAAAAAGGTTCTCTTATTTTGTCTCATCTGTGTAATCAAACTTACCAGGGGTAGACGAAATAAGTGGTTGCGATGGACCATCCTCCAGTTCACTCAACTCCATGACAGTGTTGTTTGATGGCAAATCTAGCACACACAACAAAAAATAAAAATAAACATATTAGCCACTGATGTCATGTCAGCAGTTTGGTATGTTAACAATCTAGTTAGTAACATAAAGTAGCTTCGAAAGAAAAAAAACTCTTTAACACATTTTAAGATTGCAACATTTATTTTTACATAACTACAAAGCACCTTAAGAAAAAAAATTGTAATTGCAGAGTAAACAAATCATATCTTAATATACAGCAGTAAATGATATATCCTTATGTATACACAATTTTTTTTCCCATTACTTTGTTTTGTTTACTTACCGACTGTAAGGTTAGCTGCCATCGAATCTCTGGTGGTCTCCCCACTAACGGAGGGTCGGTGACCTAGCACACCGTCCATGATTTCAAACCACGGGAAATTTTTCCGGTGGGCGCCGCTCTGACCATTGTGGATTTTGATCGCTTTATACTGTGCTCGCAATTTCTTCAACTTCTCGCGGACTTGTACCGTTGTTCGCTGAATTTGTGCTTTCGCTAGCTCAGGAACGATGTATTTGATAACATCCTCATTTCTACAATTGCCGACTATTTGCCTCTGAACATTTTCCTCTGCCCAAATGTTCAGAAGAGCCCTGGTGTCCTCAACTGACCAGTACTGTCTGCTATCCATTTTTTCTTCTTCTTAGTGAGTTGATCAAGCGCGATAGCAAAACAAATGTAAGGGAAGTAAGCATCTTGTCCCCTCTTTACCTGACAGGAAAACTCCGCCTTTGTACGTAACCCCGCCCCGAAGCCCCAGTTGGCCCTCCTTGGCCCAAGGTATTCGGCGGGCCGAAAAAGGCCGGCCACTGGCCCCAAGGAAGCCCCGCTTTGGCCCGATTAGGCCCCGGAAGTGATAGTGGAAACGCGACTGGCCTTGGCTCGCCCTGGCTCGCTCGCTTTAGGCGCGATAGTGGAAACGCGGCTATTGTTATTACAAGCGCCTGAAGAAGTGTGCTGAATGTGGTCAGAAAAACACGTCACTGAAATGAAAGATGATGATTTATGACATATATATCTACTTTTGCATTAACAAATTTAAGTGGAAAACAAATTATCTATTTTTATGTAATCCGTATAAAAGTAAGGACTTTTCCATATATTTTTGAAGAGTTTTTATTTTTATTTTTTTAACCAATTTAAGATGTTTGACAATGTTAAGATAGTATGTTGCTTTTTGGCATGTTTTATGACTTATTTATGAACTATTTATGGACATAAAATAAAATAAAAATATCCTGGATTTGAAGAATAATATGTTCCCGGACTCAAGTAATGGTTTAATGTATAAAAATTGTAAATGAACTTGACTGTTGATGTCTTAAATAATAATGTCAAATAACGAAAATTTCTCAAAATGGATATATCTCATTTTGCAATGAAACTCTTCATTTACAAATAACTTTTTCAGTAGATTTGCTAAATGTAAGTTTATAAAGTTTGCAGAGTTTTATAGATTGCACTGACTCTCACAAGTGTATCTCCAGTTGCTTTGTGTGATTATTATATTTTAAATAAACTGCAAACAATAAAGTATATAAACTTTTCTCTGATTCTTTCTTGAAACTCTTTCCTCTTAGTTCCATCTTAGCCTTGTTTCAATGACTTCAAATTTTTAGTTTTCACTAACCACGCATAAACGTTTCTTTCTCAAAAACACAAACACATACAAACATTCTGCTTGGGTATTATTGTAGCCCAGCTTGCAACACAACACAAATGTCAGTGCATGTCTAAATTTTTTCCATGGCCCCGAAACACCCTCAGACCCAAGAGGGTTAAAATTAAACATGACTTGGTGGCACTCAATCATAAAAACCGAGCATTCAGGAACTGCATTTCAAATACGATTCAAAGGATTTTACTTCATTTCATTTTGAGCACCATCAAACATCATGGATTGATTTTGCACATTCACTCTGCTCAATGCCAAAGAAAAGCACTTGGATATGAACGCTGAAAAATATCACTGAAAATGCAAACGATAAGTATGAGCTAAACTTGTCCTGTGTGCGTGTGCCTTAAGAGAGAGTACAAAGCTCACACATTCAAAAGTAACTTGAAATACAGCTGCTGCTACCCTGCATTGCAAGGAGAAACTTGAGATGGTTTATGCGTCTGGTTGGGATGCCTTCAGGTGAACATGTTTGGATCCTGTCCGACTGGGAAGAGACCTCAGGACATGCTGGAGGGATTATATCTGTCAACTAGCTAGGCAATTAGACTGAAATTCCTACCTACTTGTGAATTAAATGCAGTTTATTTAATAAATTCCTTTTTTCCCCCCCCCCCAACTCCTCACTCCTCATGCAACATTGCAGCCAAACGGAACTGTGTCCCTCTAGCTGAAGCCAGTAGACTGATGGGATGAAAAAAATAGTGATTTACTTCTCTCAGTCTCTACATACAGTAGCAGACAAGTAGTTACTTTTGCCCTTTCTCAACTTTGTCTTTTATTGAATTCCCCAGTTCACTGGGCTCCAGCTAAACATTGACAGTCTGCTTCGGTTAGCACCGTCAGCACATCATCTCACTATTGGTATCAACTAAATTTAACCGCAAGCTTTGACAGGACACTTCTTTGGGTTTTGATTTATATTCAGCCTGGTGACAGAAGGGAAGAGATGTAGCAGAAATAAAGACTAATGTTCTATTACTGACACTGTCTCGCTCAGCCACACATGTACTCAGGAGGCACCAGTGCACTGTCATTTTATCAATAATGCTTTATAATGGACAGAAAATTGCCTATTCTGAGTGCTAAGTCACTGTGCATCTGATAAATAAACTCCCTCTATAATAAACCGGGAACAGATACAGAGTCAGTAATGTGCATTAGTCCTAAGTGGTTTTAAAGGGATCCCCGCAAGGCTTAATCAGATCTGGGTGAATTTTGTTTTAATAGAGTTCATTACCATTGGCTTGGATTATTGTAATAATAAATATACTTTATTATATGTACATTTCAAACAATTATAATGTAAAGCAATTTTTTTTCAGTGATCCAATAAAGAATATTGGATACAGCTGAGAAAGCGTCCCCACATTAATGTATGCTCATCAATTATTCAACTGTTCTCTAAACAACTTTAAAAGCTTCATTTATTATCCACCCACCCAGTAATTTACTTGTTTTTACATTCTCTTTCTGCTGTCTCTCTTGTATCTCACAGAAACAAATGTCCTCTGACTTTTACATACAGTTTACTACATACAGTAGCATGTTGTAATTTAATTGCCATTTTTTTATTCAACATTATGAATTTCATGAATTTAGTTTGACCATTTTCGTTACTCTTTATACTTTATGACTTTATTTCACATAATTATGATGTTTTTTTCTCAGTTTTTTTTCTATTTGAAGAAATAAATAAAACATTGAACTGCAATAAAAGATTCTGTGTGAAACTTTAGTTCTCATGTTCGCTGAGTTTTTCAACTACACAGTATAAAGCAAAGGTCAGTGATCCTTTTTGCATCTCAATTTTATTTCTGAAGTTTATTTTTTCTTGATTTTGAGCTTATGCTCTTTGTAAGGACGGCTAAGTCTTTCCATAATATCACAGCCTGAGAACTGTTATGAAATTCCATTAGGCAAGACCATGAGAAATGTCAGGCACTAAAACAAACTTTTTATTCTGAGAAGAAGATCAGGTGGGAAACCAGTTGTTCAACTGTCTCTGTCACTTACCCTGAGCCCCCTCTTTGCCCTCTACTTCAGTGGTCCCCAACCTTAACTGCGGAATGGTCAAAGCTTGACAATTTTACTGCGGACCGGGGGGTTGAAATAATAATAATAATAATAAACATGAATCCACTGTGTACTCGTATAGAACTTTATTAGCACAGTGCTCCAACATTACAATGCTATTATAACATTAGGAAGTAATAACTTTATTAACACATTGCTCCAATACAATATAACATATTATAACATCAAAAACGGTCCGTAACACTAAATCAATGGGAGCCCTGAGCTTGTTTCTTTGCAATGAGATAGTCCTACCTGGGGGTAATGTCAGAAGGAAGATTGCCGGAAAGAGCGCATGCACGTCTAGAACTTGCTGACGTGAGACGTCTGCTTTAGCCATTGAGAACAGTCAGACACATTCACGTCTGCGTGGTTTATGAGAATAAAAGCCTTTGAATATTTTTCCAGACACATTTAGCTGCTAGAAATTAGGCAGATAACGTTTATATGTTCACTTTAATGCCAACCGTATAAATAATTATCGATAAGATGCTTATGATAAGCCGTTGTTTGTTTACCTTCAAGCTTTGCGTGTGCCCGTGAAACAGCACGTGAGCGCCAGCACACACACATATCATGTACATCTCGACATGAGAAAGTGTTTCTCAAACAACTTTAACAGCGAAGACTGGTGACCGTGCACCAGCTTGGTGAGTGAGGGCACAGGTTCAGTCCCACACAAAATCCCCTCTAATGTTTGAAACATGTCCAATATGCCTCTGTTCACGCGCTGTCCCCACAAATCCAGTTTGGCTTTAAATGCAGCTACTCTATCTGCCAACTTAAAGATAATTAATAAAGATAAATTAATTCTTGTGCGGCCCGGTACTGATTGATCCACGGACTGGGGTTGGGGACCACTGCTCTATTTGACCTTCTTCACCAGAGAAGGTCACTAAGGACTTACTCACACTAGGCTATCCAAACCATGCCCTTGTTCGTTTGACAAGTGTGAGTGCTCAGAATTGGGCCCAGGCATAGTTCAGTTAGCTGGCCCTGGCCCATTTGGAAAAGGTGTGCCAGAGCGGGGTTTGGTTGGGCCAAACTGAAGACACAATGTCACAGTGACTGTTTCATATGGTTTTGTTAACCATTCTTACTGTCTAATGATGCAAACTGTTGTAGTTTATCAAAGATGCAAACCACCCACTCCTAATTCATGCAGCATGAAAACATTTATGATAACTTATGAGCATCAAAAGTTGTGGATATGTTCAGCAGAAGATTTGTCTGTGTGTCACTGCATATCAAACAACTTAAAATAAAACAAAACAACATAACTAAAGCAATCTCCACGGTACTGCGCGAGAGCACTTCTTTTTCAAACTGAACAGCCACATCATCGCTGATGTAAGTGTGCTCCGGCTTGAAAAGTAAAGATGCAGTGTGAGTGTGGGGTGTCGGGGGAGGGGGGATAGAGAACAACCAGGCTTTGACGAGGTTCAAGGCAACTATGCCTAGAGAGAGTACACCCTAACAGTCTTCCACACAGAATCTTCAAGTTTTGAATATGGTATATATTGTGTTTCTTTAATTTTTCCCTTTATGTTTGGTTCCATTTTAAATGTCTTTGTGTGATAGTATGGTAAAGTGGTATCAATGTGACTGGAATTTTTCACATTTTCCCTTATATCTGTTAATTTGGGTTTTGACTTTGAGATATTTGCCAGATGTTCCACTTTAGGGAAAATGGTTTACACCTCAACTCATTAAGGGTTCTTGTGAAGCTTTTATTTTCTTGAATTTATGGTTGTTAGTTCTGAGTATTTAAGGGGGAAGGTGCAGAAATGTCATTGGGATCTTGTAGTGGAGATACCCTGTTGCAGTGTGCGAGTCTAAGAGCATTGGCATCTACACCTAATTGCTGCAACGTACTTCATCCATCTCTAACTCTTGGATTTATCTTTGGTAATTGTTCTGAATTGGCTT